TTAAAGAGTCCTCTCCTGCTGATGTTCAGGTGTATATCAGTATGTAGTGTCTCTACTTTAAAGAGTCCCTCTCCTGCTGATGTTCAGGTGTATATCAGTATGTAGTGTCTCTACTTTAAAGAGTCCTCTCCTGCTGATGTTCAGGTGTATATCAGTATGTAGTGTCTCTACTTTAAAGAGTACTCTCCTACTCATGTTCAGGTGTATATCAGTATGTAGAGTCTCTACTTTAAAGAGTCCTCTCCTGCTGATGTTCAGGTGTATATCAGTATGTAGTGTCTCTACTTTAAAGAGTCCTCTCCTGATGATGTTCAGGTGTATATCAGTATGTAGAGTCTCTACTTTAAAGAGTCCTCTCCTGATGATGTTCAGGTGTATATCAGTATGTAGTGTCTCTACTTTAAAGAGTCCTCCTGCTGATGTTCAGGTGTATATCAGTATGTAGAGTCTCTACTTTAAAGAGTCCTCTCCTGATGATGTTCAGGTGTATATCAGTATGTAGTGTCTCTACTTTAAAGAGTCCTCTCCTGCTGATGTTCAGGTGTATATCAGTATGTAGTGTCTCTACTTTAAAGAGTCCTCTCTGCTGATGTTCAGGTGTATATCAGTATGTAGTGTCTCTACTTTAAAGAGTCCTCTCCTGCTGATGTTCAGGTGTATATCAGTATGTAGTGTCTCTACTTTAAAGAGTCCTCTCCTGATGATGTTCAGGTGTATATCAGTATGTAGTGTCTCTACTTTAAAGAGTCCTCTCCTGCTGATGTTCAGGTGTATATCAGTATGTAATGTCTCTACTTTAAAGAGTCCTCTCTTGCTGATGTTCAGGTGTATATCAGTTTGTAGTGTCTCTACTTTAAAGAGTCCTCTCCTGCTGATGTTCAGGTGTATATTCAGTATAGTGTCTCTACTTTAAAGAGTCCTCTCCTGCTGATGTTCAGGTGTATATCAGTATGTAGTGTCTCTACTTTAAGAGTCCTCTCCTGCTGATGTTCAGGTGTATATCAGTATGTAGTGTCTCTACTTTAAAGAGTCCTCTCCTGCTGATGTTCAGGTGTATATCAGTATGTAGTGTCTCTACTTTAAAGAGTCCTCTCCTGCTGATGTTCAGGTGTATATCAGTATGTAGTGTCTCTACTTTAAAGAGTCCTCTCCTGCTGATGTTCAGGTGTATATCAGTATGTAGTGTCTCTACTTTAAAGAGTCCTCTCCTGCTGATGTTCAGGTGTATATCAGTATGTAGTGTCTCTACTTTAAAGAGTCCTCTCCTGATGTCAGGTGTATATCAGTATGTAGTGTCTCTACTTTAAAGAGTCCTCTCCTGCTGATGTTCAGGTGTATATCAGTAGTGTGTCTCTACTTTAAAGAGTCTCCTGCTGATGTTCAGGTGTATATCAGTATGTAGTGTCTCTACTTTAAAGAGTCCTCTCCTGCTGATGTTCAGGTGTATATCAGTATGTAGTGTCTCTACTTTAAAGAGTCCTCTCCTGCTGATGTTCAGGTGTATATCAGTATGTAGTGTCTCTACTTTAAAGAGTCCTCTCCTGCTGATGTTCAGGTGTATATCAGTATGTAGTGTCTCTACTTTAAAGAGTCCTCTCTGCTGATGTTCAGGTGTATATCAGTATGTAGTGTCTCTACTTTAAAGAGTCCTCTCCTGCTGATGTTCAGGTGTATATCAGTATGTAGTGTCTCTACTTTAAAGAGTCCTCTCCTGCTGATGTTCAGGTGTATATCAGTATGTAGTGTCTCTACTTTAAAGAGTCTCTCCTGCTGATGTTCAGGTGTAATCAGTATGTAGTGTCTCTACTTTAAAGAGTCCTCTCCAGCTGATGTTCAGGTGTATATCAGTATGTAGTGTCTCTACTTTAAAGAGTCCTCTCCTGCTGATGTTCAGGTGTATATCAGTATGTAGTGTCTCTACTTAAAGAGTCCTCTCCAGCTGATGTTCAGGTGTATATCAGTATGTAGTGTCTCTACTTTAAAGAGTTCTCTCCTGCTGATGTTCAGGTGTATATCAGTATGTAGTGTCTCTACTTAAAGAGTCCTCTCCTGCTGATGTTCAGGGTATATCAGTATGTAGTGTCTCTATTTAAAGAGTTCTCCTGTGATGTTCAGGTGTATATCAGTATGTAGTGTCTCTACTTTAAAGAGTCCTCTCCTGCTGATGTTCAGGTGTATATCAGTATGTAGTGTCTCTACTTTAAAGAGTCCCTCTCCTGCTGATGTTCAGGTGTATATATATAGTATGTAGTGTCTCTACTTTAAAGAGTCCTCTCCTGCTGATGTTCAGGTGTATATCAGTATGTAGTGTCTCTACTTTAAAGAGTCCTCCTTCTGATGTTCAGGTGTATATCAGTATGTAGAGTCCCTCTCCTGCTGATGTTCAGGTGTATATCAGTATGTAGTGCTCTACTTTAAAGAGTCCTCTCCTGCTGATGTTCAGGTGTATATCAGTATGTAGTGTCTCTACTTTAAAGAGTCCTCTCCTGCTGATGTTCAGGTTGTTGTAGTATCAGTATGTAGTGTCTCTACTTTAAAGAGTCCCTCTCTCCTGCTGATGTTCAGGTGTATATCAGTATGTAGGTGTCTCTACTTTAAAGAGTCCTCTCCTGCTGATGTTCAGGTGTATATCAGTATGTAGTGTCTCTACTTTAAAGAGTCCTCTCCTGCTGATGTTCATGGTGTATATCAGTATGTAGTGTCTCTACTTTAAAGAGTCCTCTCCTGCTGATGTTCAGGTGTATATCAGTTTGTAAGGTCTCTACTTTAAAGAGTCCTCTCCTGCTGATGTTCAGGTGTTATATCAGTATGTAGTGTCTCTACTTTAAAGAGTCCTCTCCTGCTGATGTTCAGGTGTATATCAGTATGTTAGTGTCTCTACTTTAAAGAGTACTCTCCTACTCATGTTCAGGTGTATATCAGTATGTAGTGTCTCTACTTTAAAGAGTCCTCTCCTGCTGATGTTCAGGTGTATATCAGTATGTAGTGTCTCTACTTTAAAGAGTCCTCTTTGATGATGTTCAGGTGTATATCAGTTGTAGTGTCTCTACTTTAAAGAGTCCTCTCCTGCTGATGTTCAGGTGTATATCAGTATGTAGTGTCTCTACTTTAAAGAGTCCTCTCTGCTGATGTTCAGGTGTATATCAGTATGTAGTGTCTCTACTTTAAAGAGTCCTCTCCTGCTGATGTTCAGGTGTATATCAGTATGTAGTGTCTCTACTTTAAAGAGTCCTCTCCTGCTGATGTTCAGGGTATATCAGTATGTAGTGT